TGAATAGTTCACTGCTTAACTTCTAAACACACATTGTTCACCATCATGACCACATTTAAGATGATACAAGAGCGAAACCACTTTTATCAGATTTACAAATTGACTGATTGATCAATGGGGGATCAGAAGTATTAGATCATAGTCAAGCTAGTTGATCAGAAATCCAGGTAAGTTAACTGGAAGCTTAATGTATCGTACACACGGTTCGGTCGCGTGCTTCAACGGAGACGCTTCCTATTCACTTTGAATGGGGTGACATCACGCTTTGCCGAACTGCATCCGTTGCTTCGCTTTGCCTCCGTTGCTCGCGCTGAAAGTTGAGAAAAGTTCAACTTTGTAAGCGTCGACGGAAGCGCCATCCAATCACTTTAAATGCCAGTACAAGCGCTAGCCAATCAAACCGTGTGCTTGTGTGTCCGTGGCGGGAGATTAATGTGATTGGTTGTTGGTCGTGCGCCAGACACGCCCACCGGCAAGCTTCAACGCGACGGAACCGTGTGTACGATACGTAACTGTTAATCTACAGGTTTTTTCGATAAAATGTCATCTGTTTGGTCACAGTTGGTTTCACTCCAACATACAAAATTAATTGATCACAGAAAACCACGTAGAAGATTTGAATGTCATTCTTCATTTATCAACCTGTCGTTTAATGTCTACATTCACACTGGTAGATTTAGGCCACCATGCATCATAATATATTTCTTAACTGCAAACTGTGAAGCATAGCGCCCTTGATTACATACATGAAAATGACACGCCACTCTGTGTGATTGACAGGCTTCAAACATTTCCCCGACCGGTGTGTGCTTCCTGGCACTCTGCTCTGTATCTGATGTGATAGATTACTGTGCACATTGTTTTCTCCTGTATCAACATATATTTGTTCACAAGATAGATGGCCCTGGATTATTTAAAAAAACAAGATTCATTCTGAAGATTTTGTTTTTAATTAAAATGGTGTCATAAAAATCCACTTGACGCAAGTTGTAAATGAGAAATGTAATTTATGAGCCTGTGGCGCGAGATGTGCGTTCACACTCACCGTGTCTTGCGTTGTTGTGGAGCAGACCATCGTGGGCGTTAAAGTATAAGGGAGGATGGTGGAAAGAAACAAAAGGGAGGAGTGGGAGTAGAGTATACGATTCAAAAGTGAGAGACAAAGAAGAAGTAGGGAGCAGGTAATGAAGAAGAGGTTGTATTGTCCTCGATGATGCGGGAAAGTGTGCAGTATTTTTCTTTCTAGTCACTCAGAGCAGAAAGAGCCTCTCTCTTCGCCTCTCGCTTTTTCCACTCTCTCCTATCTTTTCTTCCATTTCTCTGCTCCTTCTAGTGAAGATGTATGTGCCATGGAGGAGCAAAGGGGAGCGGTGGTGCACGGAGCCAGGGGTTAACACCAGCCTGACAGAGATAAGGGGCTGATGAGAGAGGCCCTGCCAATAAGAATGAGCTGTCACTGCAAATGTACAGCATACAGTGATACAGCTGCACAGATATACACAGCTGCACCAAAAACCATAGTTTGCAACATTAACATTTTCTAGGAGTCCTTAGATGGCATGATATGCAGAGTCTGGAGTTGCGAATGCATTTCAAGGACATAACCAGAAAAAACGAACCACTGGTCAAAGACTTTAAAGAGATGAAACCTGGACACAACCTCTAGCTCCCTGCCAAAACGTCACTATAGGACAATTTGGGAGTAAAAAGATGTCGCCCTGCCTAAATGCTAAGTGAGACTTAAGGGGTTGTGAATTGTGTATGTATGTATTTGTGTGTATCCAGTGCTTGAATTGGGCCGGTACTCACCGGTACGCAGTACCGGCACTTCTGATTTTTACCCATGTGGTACCGGCACTTCTTACCGAGTACCGGCAAGGTACTCAGCCGCCGGCAATATACGTATATATTGTAAACGCAACGCAGCGCAAATGTGGGTCTGACTCTGCCTCACAGAGGGTGACTGGCTGTCTACATGACGTGGCCTGCCGACATTGCCACTTTCATACAGATCATACTAATGCCCTCCATNTTATATTTCTTTACTGAGACCTTTTCGACGTCTATCTCGGTTATTCTTTAATTACGTTGACTAATAAAGGACTAAAAGGGACAACGAACCATATACAGTTATTAAACACTTGTACGAACAAACAAGGTCAAAATATACCGATTATTCAAGTAAGTTAATAGCAAAAACGTTAATTTTTGTAACTATGGATCAGGGCTGATACATGGTAAAATAAGGACAAAAACTCGAGTGACACTAACACCATATTCCAAATATGTGGTGAGACGATCACCCTGAGTATTTTGTATGTGTTTACTGTGCAGAGGATGTGACTCGATTAATCTCCTAAACAAAAATAAACTAAACTATAAACCTGTGTTTACTACGAAGACCCAGTACCCATCATATAAAACCACAGCAAATTCGTTAACACATACAACCCTAACGATAGGTAATCACTATACGGCTAAACTGCTTATACGAACGATATTAAAAGGATTATTGTTATTAAAAAGAACGACTAATGTGGTCTCTAGGTGGTAGCAAATTAACTTTAAGTACACATACTGGAACTCTGGTGTTATTTATCAAAAAAGTATTTTGATTTTCTGCAAGTGTGACACTGGTGGCGCCTTAATCAGATAATTTTTACTACCAAGGGAGTTTCACTTCTTGTTACACTTAAAATCGGACAAGCTTATAGAAAAGGGACTTTGACTTATATCACACAAGAAGATTATATATCTGGTCTATAACTCATCTCAACCACCGACTACGAGAATTGCGATGTCCCGCATTCATATCCAAAGTCTACTCCGAGTGAAAACAAATACAAAGAGTATCTATCGTATTATGAAAAAGTAGTTTAACTCAGAAGCTATCTCCAAGGATTTTTTGGTACTTAAACAGTAGGGGCCTGAGTCTGTACAACAGACACGCTGAGTACTACAACGTAATAAGATTTCTTTCCCTAACGACCTGTATATGGTCTCTTGTTTTGTGACAACGATGTCGGAAAAACATTTGTGGGAACTCGCTGGTGGCCCAGTGTGGAATTGAACCGGTTCTCCCGGAACACGCTAGCTGATTAAAGGGTGGGTGGTCTGGTTTGGTGGTTAAACGTGTTGTCGCTCCACCGGAAAAAGGGAGGCTCCCAAAAATACCCCACCCGGGCACAACATAATACACACGAGGTGGAAAAGAAAACACTCTTAACAATGCGAATTCTGGTTTGTTTAGTTATAAGTGTGTAAACTCTATAATCTTCCAATTTATCTCTTCCTATGATTGTACAAAAATAACCTCAGCTGGAGATGAATATAAGACGTTTGAGGATAGTGAACGATAAGACACTGAACTCGAAAGACTTTGGAACAATATGTAAAATGGTCGGCTGACCAAGGGCCGGAGACACATTTCTCTGAGACTTTCAAAGTCCTTTTTTCTAAGTAGAAGAGAAAACAGGACTAGCGTAAACGTATGGGGGATAATGATTTTTTAGGATACGAGAGACTTAATTCTACTCTTGTTGTCTATAGTCAGAAAATAAACTTTAACCCTGAACCGGTAATCTTATACTTGTAATACTAGCAACATGATGCTACAAAACCGAAACCTACATTAGGTATCGGTTAGATCTTGTCCGGGATTAAATCTTTGAAACCGGCAGCGCACGCGCGCTCCGTGCGCATAGAAACAAAGTAAGTTTAATAAAATGACCTTATAGGAGTGAAATGGATACATATCAATCGAGAGGGTCTGGCGTAACTCTTAAGCCTATTATTATATATATTAACAATTAATCGCGTTTAGAGAGAGATCATATATCCCGCTGCACCACACCCTCACCGAGGGTCACGATAAAAGTAGATTTACATGTTGTACTAACGATCTCTCGTTTTTTTAGTCGTGAATTACTTTTGTCCACCAAGAATCTCTTTTGTCTCCCCTAAATACAGTTAGAAAAAACAGGTTATTATGTTTTTATTTTTTGTTAGGAGTTGAAGTCATAAAAATTTCCACAGTAAAAAAAAATACTAGATTTCCGTCCAACAGGTTTTTTGAGTCTCATTTAGTTCGTTGGCACCAGGTTTTATTTTTACCACAGTGATCAGCCTGACCTAAAAAGCTAGAGCTAAACACAAAATCACGTGTTCCATGAGTTATATTTGTAGAAACAGTGTATACTCTATACGTGTGGTATAATTTGGAACCTTGGTTATAGCATTTAGAAAATTTAATAACTAATATATAAGCAGCTCATATTTTTTTGTGTTGTAATTTGTTAGTGATTAACTATTTACTTCTATATGTATATTTTGAAAGAATACCCCGAGATAGTACAGTTATCGACTCACACCGGGTGTCGCCAAATTACGAAGAGTGTAGAAGAAACATAACCAATGAATATTACATAATATAGGGGATAACCTTTTCACTTGTATCCATATTATATATATATATATATATAGTCTTTTTTCTTACATTTTCCCACAGGCCAACAACAGCTTAAAAAAAAACAATTTTCCTCAAAGAAAAACCAAACATGCCCTGTTGTCTCAAGAAAAAAAGTGCAGAAGGAAACATCCATTAAACTCAGTGTGCTGCTCTGTGATGCTAGTTCAAGCAGATACTTGGCATCTCATCTTGGGTACAAGGTCATCAATGTTTGGGCTCAGGCTCTGAGCTGAGGAAACCCTCTGGACTGAGTGAAGGTGTGCGTGCAATATACCAGCGGGCCAGATCTAATAGTAATTGGAAATTATCCTGCGGGCCGAAATTAAATCCACCAAGGGCCTGATTTGGCCCCCGGGCCTTGAGTTTGATTTGTACAATTAAATTACTCAAAGTATTTCAGTACTCCTAAATGTCGATGTTTTACCTTATATGTATAGAACAACCTCCACCAAATATTAGATTTACTACCAAGAAATAGACAAGTGTTGTTTTAGTCTGATCTCCTCCTTTTGAAAAAACAACCATACAGGTGTACCATAAATCCTTTATTACTGAATTTCAATGTGACAACACTTATTTCGCATTCATCTGTGCAAACATTACACTACAGACCGTATTCGTATAAATAATGGGGCATGTGCTTACATTTACAATCCCCTCACAGCAGTGATATGACAGCTTCTGAAAATGAAGCCCAACGTAAATATATGCCACGGTATCCGACGTTAAAAGTCCGATGACCCAACATAAGAATTTCAGCAGGGCTTTCGGAGAGATTTATTCTCTCTCTAAAAAAAAAAAGAAGACGTTTTTGGAGCTTTTCCCAACAGTGAGAAGACATGTATTGCACTAGTATAGCGATAAAGGATACTTGTCCTGTTGAGAAGGAAACATTTTGGGGAAAAACTAAAAGACTATTCCAGATGGGATGTGTTTCTCAACTGCATTACAAACTCCTCTTTCGGATAATTATAGATTGGATTGCATTTGAGTTTCCTGTAGAAACGGCAAGTGCTTGTACCATAAACCAACTATAACAGAAACCAACAAAAATAGATATGATCATACAAATCAAAGGCATAAATAAAAAGGCAAAATGTCGAATACGTCCAACTTTTGTGTAATTCAAAGTTTAGACTCCATATTTGCTAGTGAACAAAGAACCGTTGTTTGTTTGGACATGAATAGGAAAACACCTGGAGACAAGAACAGGCAAGAACGTGGATGAAAAAACACGTCATAATTAAACAAAAATAACAAAAATATTTTCATGGCTCAGGTAAGCCGGAAGACTTACGTAAGATCTTCCTCATATGTCCAATTTGTACTACAATCTCTGTTGCAAGCAGACTTCAAACGCTCACGAACAAGCAAACAGCTCAAGGAGATCTGCTTTGGAAAGTCACACCCTGTCAAGACTTTTAGAGAGTGATGGGGATTGTGGGCGAGCCGAGACCCTCCTCCAGCCAGGGCACAGAGGAGGGGGTGCAGTGCTGGGCCGCGCGCCGGTGGATGCGACGCAGCCGCAGCAGATACAGCATGATGGACAAAACAACAATGAAGAAACAAGCCAGGAATAAATAGTGGTTGTTGACAAAGGAGAAGCTGTGCCGCCAGTGAGAGTGCACTCCTTTCAGACCTTCCTGCTGGATGTCCCTGAGAGGAAAACAAAACATAAACATTAGACCTAGAGATAATGTGTTCACAGAAGTTCAGTTCAGTGCCCTGCTCATGTGTTGAGGTCAAGAAAGTTTGCGTTGCACTCTGCTCTTTATCCAATAGTGTTTTATTTGTTGTCTCCATCGTCACTTTTGCTTTAACAACATACATTTCCCCCTATGTGGGATGAATGAAGTCATTCTGATTATAACCTTAGTAACATGTATAAGGCTTAATGTAAGTGCAGCCTTTACATGTTCATATTTAACTGTAATGTGTATTTTCTAAGTGTACTAATTATTATTGTGTTAATGTTTCATGCGTGCAATATTTCGTCTTTTATTTTGAAGTTCAAGCTCACGTCTCGTTATGCTGTTCTCGCGTGAGTTAGAGAGCGAGAACATGAGAAGCACCCTCAGAGTAAGATGCACGGATACTTACAGCTCCGTTAGTTTTGTATTCTTTCTTAAACATATAAGTTGTGAAGAGAACTGAAGAATACTTCCCTCTGTTTACAGAGCATGCAGCCCAACGAGTTTTCAAGGTGGAATAAACCCGTAATGAGAAAGCCACTTGTGTCTGCCTGTGCTTCGAGGGAATTACACTTAAACCAGCAAAACTGCCATCTTATTCAAAGTAAGCTGGATCAAGAGTAGCTAGTCCATTATTAAATCACAAACAATATTACATTGAAAGATACCCGTTTTGTTGGATAATCACTTTAATGTATTTGTAGTTCAGTGTCATCCACTTCCTGCTAACGGCTTGGTGCTCAGTTACACACAATCCTGAGTACTGATCATTGTTTTGATCACTGCCATGTGCTGTTATCAAAGATAGCTTAGAAGACTAGTCAGTCATTCCTCCACTCACATGGCAGGACAGATTCCTAACAATCATTACTTAAAGTCAACTTCATTGTCAATCTTTCAGCTTGTGTGTACAGACCAAGACAAAGCGTTTTTCCCCTTTAAACTGTGGGTTTTTCTCCGGAAGTGTTTCCTTGTACGATGTGAGGGTCTAAGGACAGAGGGTGTCGTTTTCTCATACTGATATTCTGCACAAACTGTGCTGTTGTATTTGCTGTAAAGTGTCTTTACTGTAGGGTATTTTTTATTATATGTACAGCACTTTGGCTCGACCAAAAATCGTTTAAAAATGTGCTATATAAATAAAACTTTATTTGATTTGAAAGCTGGATAGTAAGTAAACATGAGAGAAAATCTAACTGACCTCAATGGCAGAAAGCGTGTCCTGTAGAGAATAGCTCCAAGCGTCCATTGGACCTCTTTATCGTAGACCAACAGAGCGGTCTTCAGGTTTTTATAGTTGGCTGGGAAAGAGAAGCCTGAGTGCAATACTTCATGCATCCACGCTGATTTGAAACACTGGTACCTGCAGGCATAATAAGAAAAAAAATCATAAATAATCTTGTCCAAAGAAGCAGGAGTATTTTGGGGGGGATTTGACCAACTGTTAGCGGTTTGATAATCCTGCGTGACTTACTTCAGCCTGTGAAGATCAGCATGTGTGGCGTACAGGCCAGAGTCAAAGCGCTCCTTCAGAGTCTTCCACTGGGTGGAGCAGTAACTCTGTAAATGTTTAAGGACAACATCAGGACATCAATAAAAAGTACCTTGGTTACAAATTAAAAGAAGGGAACAATTAGTTATTTATTTATGTTATATCTAACATGCTCTGTGAGAGTAATTGCAAATTCAAATAATGCACAACTGGAATACACGTCTTGTTTTAGTTTTGCATAAATGGACTACAACTGTGGCAGCTGCTCAGTCCGTAGATACTTAGCTCGGTCACTGGTTCAAGTCCTTTACTTTCGTTGCAGTTGTATATGTCTTAAGTGTAATTTGGCTTGGCTTTCTATTTTGTATGGACATGCTTTTGATAGCTAGTCGCCTGGTCTCGCTCGTGGATTTCGATATCGGGCACATCGGGTTCGGTGTGTAGTCGATATATTATTACCGTAGAGACAAAACTAAGGTGATGTAAGTACAATGAAGCAATATTTTATAGTTTACGTAAAGGATTTTGTTCCCCAAATTATAGGGTGATACATTATAGAATTAACAGAGTATATAAACCCATTGCGCTATAAGTGTCGAATTTCTACGGACGATTTTTGTGTAACTAATTTGTTAACAGGAAAAAAACACCGAAATCGGCAGATAGGTACCTAAGCCTTGTTGAAGCAGGGCCTTCCAAAGACTTTGGTAGCACGTATAGGTCCATTCCTTGTTCGTACATATAAAGTGTTGCCACCACACGTAAACATTTTTCGGAGGGAGTGTATAGCATCGTTGTACTTATGGATATAAGAAGGCAGGGACGGACTGAGGGAGAGAGGGACAGTGGGAGAGGTCTTACCCCTTGACATCAACTCCACTTCAGGGTGCTCGACGTGTCCCCGCGACCACTTCCTTTCCTGGCGGCCTCAGGACCTGTACCGGCCCCAGAGGTGTGTACTAGCGTATGCTTCACGGGGTTTTGACATTCGAAACGAAGAGGTGTCGTCCAAAATAGGTGTTTGTTAAGAAAAAAAACAGCGTTCCAGAACCAAAAACAGTGAGTGGGAAACAACGAAGAGGAGGGAAGGTTGGAGACGTAAAGGGACCAAATTTTTTGGGAGTCATAACGGAAGGTAAAACAGGGGACCGTCTGGCTAACGAGAGGTAGGAGGTATAAGGGCGTGACACTTCGGCGGACGTACTGGGAGTCGCATGTCCTCTAGTCTGACTCCAGCAATTCGAGTACATTCTGTTTTAGACGGTATACACGCACTGATATATGACTATGATGCGATATAATATGGATGATCGGATCATACCATATATCATATATAATATCTTGCAATTTACAATTACTCGGGTTACTTACAATAAAACACTACATCACTCAATACACGTCCCAAACGTATGTGACGAAAAGGGAAAACTTGAGAGTATAAGGGAATTTGGTGTACTACGCGGTTTAACTTGAAGTGACAGTAGAAAAATATATCTAAGGTCGGTAACAAAGAAACATACAAAACTCTTATGTCTTTACCGGTAAGAATTACAGCGGGAAGATTTTGTACGGACACTATCTGTTTCCTACACACGTTCACTAGTGAGTGGCATAAATCTTTTATGACTTGGTAAAACCTATATGAAACCACGTAGCACTCCCAGGGTTCGACTGAAAAGAACCAAGGGGGTCCTCCTTCTAACGGTTCTTGAATGACGGCTCAAATGAATCCGACACTGCGTGTAGGCGTGTCTGTACAAATAGCACGAATAACACAGGTGGGAAGGACCCCAAGCCTCCTTTGGTCGGGTCCGCGTTTCTATACTCCTCTCACATAGTTTTTATGACGGTGGGCTTTGTTTCACTGTCGATATCAGTCTAGTAAAGAAGACATTTTATAGAGAATTCCATGGATATACGTTTGGGAGAAGGAAGTACAGAAAAGATGAAGTTGTACACAGGGGGAAGACACCTTTCTCTGAGCTTCAGTCCCTTTTTTCTAAGGAAAGAGAAAACAGGACGTAAGGTATGAAGATATTTTTGGACAGACTTTTACTCGACTAGTCTCAAACCGTGGAATACTACAGTATTGCTACGAAAACCGAACCATTCGGTAATTCGTTCGGGGGGGGGGGGGTGGAATAGTGGCGGCACTTAGAGGAGCGCTGAGTCTAAATTCTGCTTGTGGAGTCGAAGCGTTCAGAGGTTCCCTAGATCTCTCCCGACTCAGCCTCCGTGGTACACAAAAAACTTGGTTAGAGAGAGTCCTCGCCGCCCCCTCCCCGAGGAATTAACAATGATGTTCATTGTCTGTGCTCTTGCTCGTGATAACCTTTGTCCCGACTTCTGTCTCCCCTTAATACCCATTACGACGTTACTAGACACAACCGATAACCTCGGTTTGTGATAGTCTGTGGTCACAAACCATAGACTCTGGGATATTGTATAACTACTTTTTGTCATAGTATCCCCTGAAAATTATGGGTCGTAATACACATGAATGTGAGCATGACGACTAAAGAGCGTCCGACAACCAGTCGCTACGCCCACTCTGCGTTAAGAGGGAGGAGCTGGGCACAGGAGGCGGCGACTGGACGTCTACTCTGAGCCAAAGGCAGGTTGTCTCTGTCGATTGTTCGAGGGTAGACCGCTCGTGGTCCTCTGAACTGGTCACAGCTGTGTGAGGACGGTCGGCACAAGGTTGGCCGGCGTGGTTGCTCTGAGACTGCGCAGGGAGTTGCCGTTAGGTTGGCCGGTAGTTGATGTTGTTGTGGTCAAAGATCGCCGCAGAGCGCTCACAGATGATTGCGTGGCTCCTGCACCGACGGCTAGTACCCGCCAGCTGAAATGACGGAGGTTTATGAGGTTCCGACGGATTCCATTGGAGTGTCCTTTCCAGAAAACACGAGTAAGACAAAAGTGTGCTCATTCTTCCTCGTGCGATACGGGGTTTTCTCCTTGCAGATCTACAGTGAGACAACCATAGTACACCTTCATTGATAAGCCATTCCTGTGTAAACTCCATGAATAATGACAGTTGGTAGTAAAGTAACAATATCATGAAAAGAGATTGCTGTAAACCTTCAAAACCTCAATAAGAATGGATCAATGAAAGACTTAGGTCTGAAACTGTTTGTTATGAATTTATTACACTAATAATAATATCTATAAATTTTTTTTTTTTTACAAATTTTTCTTTTACATAACCTAATTCTAAATAAACTATTTTTTTTAGCAGTCAAGGTTCTAAGAATTTCACACTCATTGTAATATTTATCTCAAAAAGGACCGTTAATCAACTAAAATGCGATTATGAATTTCATTGTAAAAGGATCCAGAAGAATTTATGAAAATGAACTTAACTCATAAATGTTACATGTAACTCAAAATGAGGTTCGTTTCTTGGACGTTAAACAAAAAAGTGTTTAACAGGGTCATTATGTGCGTAGTTTGTCCTTGGATTTATTAAGCTCCGGATTCTCACGTGTTTGTACCTCTCTACAGGATCTCACTTCCCCCGAAGTACAGGCGTGGTCCTAATCAGATCCGCCAAGTCCGTACATCCGACATGGCGCTTATAATCAAGAACCTCATGATAAGCCAAAGTAAAGCAATAACGCCTATCAACCAAAAGAGGCAAAAAATAAAGAAAATAAATAACTTTAGAGGTTATAGCTTGCAGTTCTCGAACACGGGAGAAGCCCCCCACGATTTGTGAATGGCATTGCAAATGAAAGAGGTAGAAATATAATCTATTGTAGAAGAAGAGGTAATTAGAGGCGTGGCAACAAACGGTATCGTTGTTGCTTAAAGGACAGTTCGACGCGATTGAGTAGNGCACTCCTTTATAATTATTAGGATAAATAAAAACAGGTTTGAAATAATTCCAATGTTCCTACTATAGGACAGTAAACCAAAAATATCCTTTAAAGTTGGAGAGTTCCAACTTTAAAGGATATTTTTGGTTTACTGTCCTATAGTAGGAACATTGGAATTATTTCAAACCTGTTTTTATTTATCCTAATAATTATAAAGGAGTGCCTTGGAAATATGTGTTTACATAATTTGTGGTCAAAACGTTTGAGACCCACTGAGATAACTTAGACTAAAAATCTAAACACTCCTTTACCTCACTGTGCTTCTCAGTCTTACAGGAGGGCTCTCCTCCACCCTCGTTGTAGAAACATCTACTTCTTATATCCGTTAGCGCAGCTAGCACCAGATTCTAATAACAACAGCACCGGTACCGGTGCGCCCTCTCTATCTCTCTCCCTCTCGCTCCCACGCTCGCACTTTGGCTGTGAGCTGCGGGCGCCTGATAAGCCAACATCCCCTTTCATCACTTACAGTGCCCATCGTACTGTACAGGGCAAATGAAAAGTGTAACCGGGGTGAAAAGGGTGTTACATTTACTTAATTATGAATATTGTTACATAAAGGCCGAAAATTAGGATGAGCGTCAACGGTAAAAAAAAATGTTTCCCCTCCCAGAGCTACCAGCTGCGCCCCCCAGATCTGCCGTCTATGCCAAAAATTGGCCCTGCCTAGTACATACAGTGGCAATGTCTCAAGATTTAGCAAAATACACCTTTATTGAACATACAGTAACACAAATACTACAAATCCACATAACAAACAATCAAAAATGAAAAAGGGTCACCACTTATTATTATTATTTTTTTTTAAATGTGGGTACCTGGCTGGCGCCCCCTAGCAGCGCGCTGCGCCGCCGCTATTTGTATACAGTATAGGGGAAACACTAACTATAATGATCATATAAGGATGTGCCTTTACCTCACTGAGCTGAGGTTATCAGAGCCTCTCAGTCTTTCAGGAGAGAGCTCTCTAAAGCTCTCCCCCCGCGGCGGCTTACACAGTACATTTCAATGTTAATAAAAGCACACAAAAGCTGTATACTTTTTCTGGGAGTTTGATTTATTTTAAATTAACACAAATACAAAATTAAAACCTATAATTGCACACTAAAACTATTATTTCTAAAAAATAACTATTTCACATAAACCTCTGGTTTTTACGGGGGCTGGGACAGTTCAACTTGATTTGGGGGGGGGTGCGCCATAGTTTATGCCCGCTGTACGC